ACCCCTTATTCTTTAAGTATCTTGCCCTGAATATCTCGAATCCTCGGATATCTCAAAGTTTCTTCTTGGTCCCATTGAGTTCGAGATAATGAAGTTTGACTGCATATCAATCTGTACATTTCAAACATTTTAACTGAATCCAAATGTCTCACATTATTTATCAGCAGATGAAAGAAAATTCCCAACAACCAGTCTTCACCTAAGAGATATTTTTTTTCCTGGTCTTTGATTTTCAAGTTTTGTTATATCTTTAAAAATTAATTCCTATGTAAATCTATACTTAAAAAGGTCTAAAAATTCCAATGTTTTACTGAGCGGTCATAAAAAAAATTAATGTTTGAATGCAGAGCGAGATATATCGGACCCGTCGATGAGATACTGGACCGCTACATTACAAGGCATGTCCATCTTCAATACAGTCAAAAATGATAAGTTAGTAATAACAAGAGGCCCATGGGCCACATCGCTCACCTGAGTAACTTTGGCCATGCTGTTCTTTACCAGATTTACCCCCTTCTAATACTTATTGTGGCCCTGCCCTACCCCCGGGGGTCATGATTTTAACAATTAAAAATCTACACTATCCCAGGATGCTTCCACATAAGTTTCAGTTTTTCTGGCCCAGTTGTTCTTGAGAAGAAGATTTTTCTTACATATTTCAATGTAAAATTGGATTCCCCATTGTGGCCCCGCCCTACCCCCGGGGGTCATGATTTTTACAATTTAGTATCTACACTACCCCAGGATGCTTCCACATAAGTTTCAGTTTTTCTGGCCCAGTTGTTCTTGAGAAGAAGATTTTTCAAGATTTTTCCTATATATTTCAATGTAAAACTTGGATTCCCTATTGTGGCCCCGCCCTATCCCGGGGGTCATGATTTTAACAATTTAGCATCTACACTACCCCAGGATGCTTCCACATAAGTTTCAGCTTTTCTGGCCCAGTTGTTCTTGTGAAGAAGATTTTTCAAGATTTTTCTTACATATTTCAATGTAAAACTTGGATTCCCTATTGTGGCCCCGCCCTATCCCCGGGGGTCATGATTTTAACAATTTAAAATCTACATTATCCCAGGATGCTTCCACATAAGTTTCATCTTTTCTGGCCCAGTTGTTCTTGAGAAGAAGATTTTAAAAGATTTTTCCTATTCATTTCAATGTAAAACTTGGATTCCCTATTGTAGCCCCGCCCTATCCCCGGGGGTCATGATTTGAACAATTTAGAATCTACACTACCCCAGGATACTTCCACATAGGTTTCAGCTTTTCTTGCCTAATGGTTCTTGAGAAGAAGATTTTTATAGATTTTTCCTATATATTTCAATGTAAAACTTGGATTCCCTATTGTGGCCCCGCCCTACCCCTGGGGGTCATAATTTTGAAAATTTAGAATCTCCACTACCCAAGGATGCTTCCACATAAGTTTCAGCTTTTCTGGCCAAGTGATTCTTGAGAAGAAGATTTTTAAAAAAATTTCTTATTTATTTCAATGTAAAACTTGGATTCCCTATTGTGGACCCGCCCTACCCCGGGGGTCATAATTTGAACAATTTAGAATCTACACTACCCCAGGATACTTCCACATAAGTTTCAGCTTTTCTTGCCTAATGGTTCTTGAGAAGAAGATTTTTCAAGATTTTTCTTACATATTTCAATGTAAAACTTGGATTCCTTATTGTGGCCCCGCCCTACCCCGGGGGGTCATGATTTGAACAATTTAAAATCTACACTATCCCAGGATGCATCCACATAAGTTTCAGCTTTTCTGGCCAAGTGGTTCTTGAGAAGAAGATTTTTAAAGATTTTTCCTATATATTTCAATGTAAAACTTGGATTCCCTATTGTGGCCCCGCCCTACCCCCGGGGGTCATGATTTGAACAATTTAAAATCTACACTATCCCAGGATGCTTCCACATAAGTTTCAGCTTTTCTGGCCCAGTGGTTCTTGAGAAAAAGATTTTTAAAGATTTTTCCTATATATTTCTATGTAAAACATTGATTCCACATTGTGGCCCAGCCCTACCCCCGGGGGTCATGATTTGAACAATTTAGAATCTACACTATCCCAGGATGCTTCCACATATGTTTCAGCTTTTCTGGCCCAGTGGTTCTTGAGAAGAAGATTTTTAAAGATTTTTCCTATATATTTCTATGTAAAACATTGATTCCACATTGTGGCCCCGCCCTACCCCCGGGGGTCATGATTTGAACAATTTAGAATCTACACTACCCCAGGATGCTTCCATATAAGTTTCAGCTTTACTGGCCCTGTGGTTCTTGAGAAGAAGATTTTCTAATGACCCCACCCTATTTTTGTCTTCTCTTGATTATCTCCCCTTGTGAGGGGACTTGGCCCTTCATTTTAACAATTTAAATTCCCCTTCACCCAAGGATGTTTTGTACCAAGTTTGGTCAAAATTGGCCCAGTGGTTCTTGAGAAGAAGTCAAAAATGTGAAAAGTTTACAGACGGACGGACAGACAGACAGACGGACGGACGGACGACGGACAAAATGTGATCAGAAAAGCTCACTTGAGCCTTCGGCTCAGGTGAGCTAAAAATGTATGAAAATGAATTAGACTAATTTGATAATGTTTAGTTACGATTTCAGAAACAAAGTATTATTATTTCTGTATAACATGAACGTACAGGCATGCTTGTATAGATCTGTGTGAAATGTATTTCAGTGTATGATAAAAAGATCAACACTGACCAATATATACCCGGGCTAATCTTCAATAGCTGTTGCTTTTTCATACTTTAACTTTTATACTCCTTGCCTTTAAAGAAAGCTACGTTACAAAAATATTCGACATATTCAGCGAGTATGCAGCGTGTGCAATTTGTTCGGTTGCGGTCATGTGCACACGTGATTCGAAATAACCTAAACTGTAGGGGACTACAAATGCAGTAACTTTTTTTTTTAATTTTGAGGTGTTGTCAAAAACAACAAGAGACCCAAGGGCCTTAACGGTCACCTGAGTATAAAACAACAATCCATAGAAGATCCATAGAGTATAAAATAAACTGATAGAAGAAGCTTTTGTAAATCTTTGATTTTCCCTAGTGGCCCCACCCTATCTCAAGAGTCCAGAGTCATGATTTGAACAAACTTGAATCTATATTAGCTGAGGATGTTTCCATGTAAATATAACCAATCATGGCTTTTCTGTTCTTGAGAAAAGAATGTTTTCAATTTTTAATGATTTTTTCTATGTACTTCTATGTAAATCTTTGATCATATTAAAATGACTAATCATGGCTTTGCAGTTCCCTGTAGGGGGGGGGGGTTCAGGATTTTAACAAACTTGAATCTACACTACCTGAGGATGCTTCCATATATTGATCAATCATGGCTTTGCTGTTTATGAGAAGAAGATTTTAAAAGATTTTTCCTATATATTTCCATGTAAAACATTGATCATCCATTGTGGCCCCACCCTACCCCATGGGTGTCATGATTTGTACAAACTTGAATCTACAATACCTGAGGATGCTTCCATATAAATATGACTCATCACAACTTTGCTGTTTTTGAGAAGAAGATTTTTAAAGATTTTTCCTATATATTTCTATGTAAACTTTGATCATCCATTGTGGCCCCACCCTACCCCCGGGGGTCATGATTTGAACAAAATCGAATCTACACTACCTGAAGATGCTTCCACATAAATATGAGCAATCAGGGCTTAGCTGTTCTTGAGAAGAAGATTTTAAAAGATTTTTCCTATATATTTCAATGTAAAACTTTGATCCTCCATTGTGGCCCCATCCTACCCCTGGGGGTTATGATTTGAACAAACTTGAGTCTACACTACCTGAGGATGTTTCCATACAAATTTCATCTTACCTGGTCCAGTGGTTCTTGAGAAGAAGATTTTTAAAAGATACAATTAATTTTTCACTAATTCTTAATTATCTCCCTTTGGAAGAAGTATGGCCCTTCTTTTCAACAAACTTGAATCATCTTTACCCAAGGATAGTTTGTGGCAAGTTTGGTGAAAATTGGCCCAGTGGTTCTTGAGAAGTTGAAAATGTGAAAAGTTTATGCACGACGCACACCCACACGACGACGGACGAAAACAGATAGCAATAGGTCACCTGAGTGACTCAGGTGACCTAATAAAAGCTTTTAAATTGCCGTTCTATCAATCTGTCAATTCCTAATGCATGGTGTTTCACCCACCAACAATGCTACGACATCAATGAGGAAAACCATGCAACGATTTCAAGACGAATATTTCTTCAATAAGGATAATTTAATCAATTAAATTGCTAATTTCTTTATTAACACATGATGTTTATCTCTTTAATTTTTTTTGTATCTGATAAGTCTTTTGATAACTGGTTGGTTGTCACACATGTGGATGTGTTGTGCGATGTATAGCGATAATTAAGATACCGAGAATCTCGAAATACGGGGTGATTCAGAAAGTAACAAAATCGGGACTTTTGCGTTTTTAAATTAATTTTTACATGCTCCGAGTGAGTGTTTGGTAATAAATTGCAGTAGCCCTGCAGGACAAGCTTGAAGACATGTTTAGTAGCCCGAGCTCAATTTTAAGGTGTACCGGGCTAACGGGCTACCGTTAGTGTCGAACCCTGAAAAAATAAAAGGCACAACAATACATTTATTGACTGTATTGTTAGGCAAAATGTGTTTTATCGACCACTCGAACCAAACTGTTTGCCTTCTGCCTCAGGCAAACAGTTTGGTTGTTGGGTCGGACAAAATGCATGTTGCCCTCGAACCCAGTCAATAAATGTATAATATTGATCACCTCGTGATCAAATGTCTACCCTTGTAACAGAATGTGTTACTCACTGCTAACAGAACCAAGACAATAACATAAAAACTCCCCATGTCATCAAACCTACATAACTGCTGTATAAGGGTTGTAATGTAAAACATCAAAAATCTGTACTGAATTCCAAACCACTGAATAAATGGAAAAAAAGAATTCCTCCTCTATGGTAACATACAAGTCGTTCATAGATAATTCATGTTTACAACTTTATTATCAAAACACAATGAACATTTCTCACATTAAAAATCTCTCTAACATTTCTCTGTATGTTCCAATTCCATGCTACCAACACTGTAACACTGTCTAATGTAAACAGTTAGGTGTGCCACTGAACAAAGAAAGATAACTACTACACACCTATCTGTAATACGCTTCTTCATAATTCTGTGGAAAATTTATCAAACAAATGAACTTTCAACAGAAAAATCATACATACTGCATTAAATAAGTATATGTTTTTTTTCATTGGTCTATAAATATCTTTTCTGTTATGTCTCATATTGATATTCCAGAAATATTAGGGAGAACAAAAAAAAAAATTCTAAAAATGAGAAATTCCACGAACCACACAGACATCCCTCACAAAACATACAACAGAGCAACTTAATAATGCTTACAGATGCTAGTTGTTTAAAGAATGCTGTATACATTTTTTTTTTTTAAGTTTGTATATTGAAATATTGCCCTATTAAACAAACTGACAGGTAAGCATAGAACATTAAATCTTTTGAGTACAAAGTCTCCTATAAGACATGGAATGCCTTTTTAACAACTTTCTTCATTAAGCATTCAAAAAATAGTTAATTCATGATTTATAAATAAATCAACAAACTGACACACAGAATCTAAGACATTAATGTAAAATTAAATACAAAGGCCTACATACATGTATGCCAAAGGTAACAGAGACAAGAGAATGATCCTCTCCAATTGTTTGTTTGAAAGTCTAAACAAATATATTCTCTCAACAGTCATACAGTGCATTTCTAAAACCTACTCCACATTTTGTAAGAGTTCTGTCCCTTAACAGACTGTTGAAAAGTTCTATATTTTCCTTATTCTGAAGAAGCATGAAACAAAACAAAACAGTATCTAAAACATCAAGAACAAAAATAATAATGAAAAAAAATTACAGTACTCAAAACAATCATTATAACATCTAACAATGCAGAAATGCATTTAATGAAAAGGTCTTCCTCTACAAAGAGCACACTCACTCGCATCAATTAAACGTTAAGAAATAACAACATTAACATTCACACGACAGCATTTTCTTCTTTTCCGAGTATAACTGGTCACATAATATGACATAATCTGTTTTTTGTTGTGTCTGTGTAAATTTTGTTGTATGAAATCTCAATCGCTCCAACTTCTAATGAGTATAACATCAGAGTTGTCTTCCCTGATTGGTCATTTGATCTTGATCACACTGACGTCACCATGGCCTCTCTGTATAGAAAAATAGATAATAAAAATAGCTAGACATTAAGCTGTAGCCATTAAAATTTATACTTTTATTAGACAAATTGTGCTAAGAACTTTCATTGACAATTCAAGTTATGTGTACAGTCAAACCTCTATATCTCAAACTCAACGGAATCAAGAAAAAAGATTGGAGATATCTGAGAATTCAAAATACCAAGTTTAAATACGTAAATTAAGATAAAGGTGTTCAAGATACCAAAATTCAACTATATCTTTCTTAAATTTTATGAGTGTTTTCTTCATATTAGTTAGAAATAAATAATTTGATTCAAATTAATGTGTAATGATATTTGGTTTGCATAAAGCTACTGATTAAGAAGATTTTATAATGCTTGAATATTTACTCTGATTAAATATAACAGTTTGTACCACATTAGCTAGCTCTTATCTGATATATCACAATTTCTGTCATTAAAATATTTGTTTAATTTATTTAATTTGTTTAATTTTTTCAGGTATAAAATTGCATTGTTAAACTGAGATACCAACATAATATGACACGTAGGTAGTTAAAACTTTGCAAAACAATAAAATCTTAAATCCTCTCCTGGCAGACTCTGTTTAGCCTCATAAACATTGACCTTGGTATATAATCATTCATTAGGATTTGATTAATGCAGACACATCAATACAGGAACACCTACAAAAAAATTCCCCCCACCCCACCCCCGATTATTCCATGTAAGGTGGGGGTAGGGTAGATGTTATGTAGACTGTCGATCTGATTTGTTACTGTATTTATAGAATACCTGTTCTACAGGTATTCTGTTAAAGCATACACACTTTACTTTATGTAAAAGTTTAATGCCATTCATAGGCTCTCTCTCAGTGCAGTCAGATGTTACCCAGCCCACCCGCCCTCACAAATACCATCTTTGATTTTATTAATTATATGTTTTTTTGTTTTTGTAGATATGAGTTGCGACGAAGGAAAGTTGTATTTGGATAGTTTGTAATATTTAACTGCACTTACAAGAGCGCTTCTGTGCCTATAAATGTGCTGTTATTTATTTTATAAATCATTTATGTTCATTTCCCAATACATGTACTTATTTATGTTCGTTTCAGTAGAAACAAATAAGAACATAATGAGGGGGGATGTTTGAAAAATAAGATACCAGTTTTATCTTGGACAGACACTCCTAAATCATCTAGTATTTTGAACTGCATAATAAAAGAGTCAAAAAACAGACATGTTTATCAAAACTCTGTCATTCAGAGGGAAAGTTTAATAGCAAACACTTGTTTATGACATTGAGAGAAACTTAACAAAGCAGAATTTAAAATCTAGATTTTTATATAAAGTACAGCTGCATAAATCCTGCTGTGTGGAAAATTAATCAAATATGTAAATCAAGTTTGGTCACTGAAGCATGACAAGTCATTCTTTTAATTATATTATTCATTAAGATATTCTTCAATCTTAGCCAAAAAAAAAAAAAAAAAACCCGTTTACAAGCATTTTGATGCCTGGCCAATTTTTTAACATGGAATATCTATCTATCACAATTGCTGTGTTTAATAAGAGGAATGACCTGAGACAGGGTATTATCTTACACATTAGCAATGTCAGCATTACTGAGGCAGAACCCCAGGGTCCTCAATATTAACTCTACTCTAAAAACTTTATACCAGCTTTTTCCAAGTAAACAAATAAGTTTATTAGATAAATGACAATAAAATGTCCGCTTTCAATGTTTTTCTTGTTAATCTGGTAGTTTTACATATATGAATTCACCTTTATTTATAAACAGTACATTTAATTTTAGATTCTTGATTTTTTCCCCTAAATATTCCAGTGAAAACTTTTTGAGTATGAATTATGGCCCAATCCAAGTCTTTCAGGCCATTTGATTTGAACCAGAGTCTCATTTTACAAAAGAACTTATGACTTAAGACCAGAATGTAATTTTGTAAACAACTTTCCTTTTTTACATTACTATGAAAATGGTTTTAATCTCTTTCAAAAGAATTTAGAAAGATATATTTATGTTGGCAATTTGTGAAAGAATCCTTAATTTTGCAAGATTTTATTACAATCACCTTAAGTTTTTTGTCATAGTCGTAAGTTCTCTTGTAAAAAAAAGGGGGGGGGGGGTTATAAATTTACAGTTCTGCATTAAATCAAAACAATCAGACATATTTTTCATGTGTTATTTTTATTCTTATATCTTGTGTACTTTAAACTAGTATAATATATATCTATTCTCCATTTTTTTTCTCCTGAAAAAAATTCATCCACTGATAAACATCTATCCACCATATTTTAACATCTTTTAAGGTAGCAGGTAACTTAATATTCTTCCACTACAATATTCTTTATTTCCAATCATTTGCTAAGATGCCCTGCAGTAAAAGAAATCACATAACTAATGTTTCAAATTTCATCCTATAAGAAAACCAGACCAGGTAATAGATTTTTTGTGCATGCATCTAAATGAGTACATATTCCATTCAGGGTTAGAAACTCCCTAAAATTACAACTCCCAAATAATTGCGAGTACCAAGAAAGTGAACTCTCAATTTTATAAGACTACTCGCAATTTTCATGTAAAGTTAAATTTATATAAATTAAATACATGTAACTTAAGGAAAAAGTAACTACTGTACAATACACAAAATACAACTACAGTGTCACTTTTAATTAAAATACTGATTTAAATCAAAAGCATTGTGTTCTGTCATATTATATAATTTTGCTACAGTTTCAATGCAAAAAAATCAACTCGCAAGTTTTTGCGAGTTACCTAATTTTTAACTCGCAATTTGGGAATTCTAACTCGCGTTTTGCGAGTTGTATATAGTGAATTTCGAACCCTGCCATTAATACACATAATTGTTTTCATTGTATATTTTAATCAGTGAGAGATTCACAGGATATTGTGCTGCAAATATGAATGTTCAAAAATAAAGTCAAGATTATAAAGCATGTAGGGATTATGTGACCCAAAGCCATCGAGTGCAATACATCATAGTACTTATCGTGTAATATGGAGAGTATGTATATTGTTGGCGGTTCTACAAGCCAAAGCTGGTTATTCTGCATGCAGCTAGCAGCCAAGGTCAGTTAGTAGGGGGTCACATAAGATTGTTACCTGCTGCATAGAGAGAACCAGGCCAGTGGTAACTTACACTAATATTGGTTCTCCCTTGATTAAACACTTGTCCTCGGAACTCTCCACCACCAGAGGGATCTTCTGGTCATTCTTCTCCGATTCCGACACAAAATTCTCCAAACCGCAGGACTGGTACTTAAACAGCATCATAATCACAGAGCTCCATAACAAGGCAGATCCTGTCAATGAGGAAGAAATCAGGAATTGTATGTGATATATGGGAATACGTTATATTTCCATTAGTGAACTCTTCAAAATTAGAGGCGCGTTTGGTCGTCTGACTGGGACAGCATGGCGTGACGGATAATACAAAACATGCCAATCTCAATCCAATTTTAAATGTTAAATGTATTTGTCATTCCAATTAAAGAATAGAAGAACTAAAAGACATATGTAAAAGAGCGAGAACCCTAAATTTATCATCCATTAATAAAAATACGACATTTCCGAGGCATGTGTATTGTATTTAGATGTACCATACGATAAATAGATACATACGATCAACAATAGATATAAAATGATATCGTTGTCATTCCTACTCTTGATGTGTATAAAGTCCACAACAATAAGATATTTCATTTGCATTTTTTTTAGGAACTGTTCATCGACATTCAACATATTGTTAACATGTTTATGTTATGTTTGTCCCAGAAATCCCGCGAGATTTGTACATTTTCCGACTTTTTCACAAAAGAGCGCACTAAGAAGTATAACTCTTCCATAGTGGAAATAGAACGTATTATCAGGATACTGTAATACATAAAATGTAGTGTTCCCTATTAGAATACTGGTACAGATATCACTGATATGGTACCATATAACAATGTCTACACTGTCTGAAACAAGTCTTTTAAAGACCTCAACAAGGCAAAATTTTCTGTTCATCATGCACATGAACAACAAGAGGATATGTTCAATCTTAAAGTGACCAAATTTTACAAGGAAAATGAGTATTTACATCAAGTATTATTACCTCCTTTCATAATCAAACTTCTCAAAAGTAGGACCTAAGCTCCTGTTTTGCATAATTATTATCAAAAATTTCTCGAAAAATAAGCAGGGTTGCCCTTTGTGGCCCTTTTTTTTTAAAGACTGACCTGCTAAGTAGAAAGCATACTTGAATTCTGTCTCCTCTTGGATCAATAAACCTAAAATACAAGTACATATATATATTAAAATCGGATTTACTGACTCACTTTATTATTTTGTCTTAAAAAGACCAGCTTTCTCAAACAGATAAATATGATATAATATTACAAAATTTGTCGAATGTAGAATGAAGAATCTTGAATTTCAGTACCTGCATGCACTTATGGATGGGTGTTTGCTTTATTCAATCAACTTTTATATTTGCAAGTGAAATACTGGTAATATTAAACTTTTGCACTCCAGTTATTTTTAACATATGAAATAGATGAATGCTCTGGTGACTAACTGTTAAACAACCATGACTGAACACATCTATTAATTACTGTACAGCATACCTATTAAATATACATAGGTATAACACGTACACTAGCACAGAAGTGTAATTAATCATAATTTTATGTGTTTGCAAAAAATATAATGAAGTACAATGGGACTATTTAGCACAAATTATGACTTTATATATATATTATTCTATCCCCTTCAAAATGTCTGTCCATGTAAGACCTAGAATCCTTCACTTCTATCCACATATTAATTGGGGAAACTTTCAGTCAATGTAATGTTATGAATCAGCAAGGTCTCCCATTTCCCCTTGTAAAGCACCAGGAAAAGAACTGTCCACAATTGTTATGTAACAGTAATCCACTGTTTATTCAAATCTTTAAAGACTGCTGCACATTTAAAATTTAAAAATAAAACATTATTCTGCTCAGGCACAAAAAAACATTGTCAATTATTTATCATGTCAGCACACTGTAAAACACTGTAAAATAAGAGGCAGAGTCAAGGACCTTCACATGTGGGAGGCCTTGTAGTGTTGTCAATATCTATCTCTACTAGAGTGCTTACACAAAAGGTGACAAAAAGTATATAACTAGGAGGATAGATACAACTAATAGAGGATATTTGTGGAAGATTTAATATCTTAGAGTCTTTATACCTGTGACATTCAAAACAGTATTCATAAGCTTTCACAATTCTCTCCAATTACTTAGTTACTACACAAATGATCAAAGTCCATGCCGTATGATGATGATATTTAGATGTACATTCTGACTACATAGGGTCATTGAGTTCTCCTCTGAGCCAAGTGCCATGACTTCTAGGTCAGTGATTCATTATCATACACCCCACAGTGAATAAAGTCATAAAATCAAATTTTATATATATCTATATATATTTATATATGTACCTCCTTTTAAACTAATATATGACTACAGCCTCCCACCTCAACAGAGAACTATTTTTGCAAAAAAGAAAATCTCAGAGTTCTATATATTACTTACATGTAGTATTTACACAAAGGCAGGCATAGCATACCACTCTAGTAAGGAAGTGGGGGGGGGGGGGCAGAGTTTATATGGTTAAAATGAGATCGATCCCCCTCCATACTGACTTAATTGTCATATAATATGTGGACACCATATAAACACTCTTTTTTATTTACTAGAAAGATTACAAATGACATTCAAAACAAAATCTTGAAGATTCTGCACTTTCCTTTCAAGAAAATTTTAGATTCTCTCTATAGGTTTCCATATGAAATGTCAAAAAGTTTATGGCAAGATTATGTAGAATGGCATATAAACTTAATTATATTCATCAAAATTTATCTACAGCATATTCTCTCTTCTGGAAAACTTGAAAACTGGTGACAACTGACAACAAAGTTTAATGCAACTTGCACACCAATATCATCCAACATGGACATTTATGTGACGTTCAGTCTATATACATCTCCTTTTGTTCACGATTAAATTGTCAGTCTCCTAATATTCTTTTCTGCGTTTGGGAATATTACCCAATTACACTGTCTTATGAATAATAAATACCCTGCAACATCAAATCATAATTGATTCCTCTCATCAAAATAATCTTGGGGGAAACATTATGCCTTCATGATGAAATGGTAAACAACAGGCCCATGGGTCACCAGGTTCACCTGCCATTGTGTTTTTCGGGTTTTTTTTTTACATAGATATTTTGATAATTCAATCCAACACAATTTAAACTGAAGAATTAAACTATTTCTAGTTAAATTCTGGGACCAATGTAGAAGCTGGCTTTGAAAACAAAATGAAACAACAGAAGCAAGTAAAATTTCATTGATGATTAGAATTTTTATGGAATTCAGTTATTGCATAGAGTTTTTCCTTCAATCAGCATGCACTCAAAAGAACATATTATCTGTGGAAATGTCTTATTTGGGAAAAAAAAAAACTGTAGCCTTACTAAATAAGACCCATACCCAAAAATCTTTTACTTCTCTGAATCCATCTATGAATATGCATCTACTTAAGGCTTGGGTGAGCTAAAATTGAAATCTATATGAACTCATTTTCTATTGACACTGATATTTATTTCTGCCCCGATCTTTTGATGATAGATTACTTTATCTGATTATAATCATCCCTCACCTTAAAATTTAGGTAAGATAAAGAACGAAATTATTACTGATAAATCTGAAGTCAATAGCAAAGGTTATCTATTAAGTGGGCCATACATGCAATGTACTTAAGGATATGCCGAGAAGAAGTGAGATAGAATTTTTTTTTTTTGGTTTTTACCATTCTGATTAAAAAACAAAAAACAAAAACCTGCAATACCGTGTTCAAAATCAAGTACATATAAATGCAGCATTATCTTTGATGTGATAGACATTGATACATTTGAGTGATGAAATCACCCTAATAAGCAGCCCTCATGATTTCACTCTGGAATAAACATAAGTTCCCTCTTATTTTTTCATCTTTTCGTAGAGAAATTGCATATTTTTCAACAGATTTGTAATGTTTTCCTTTAAGTTAGATGTTTAAAATTTCCTCCTCCATTGGACTCTTAATAACTCTATATCCCTGTAAACAATGAAATATGAAGATAACGAACAGTATTCAATCTCGAAAGTCCAATGAAACCATACAAATTTGGAGCAAACACAGACCTCAAAATTTAATGTGGGATCAGGTGCCATGGAGGAGTGAGCATCCCCTGCTGACCGGTCACACCCGCTGTGTGCTCCTTGTCATGATCGGGGAAAATAAATGGAAAAATCTGTAGACAGTTCAGTGTATAAGTAATGGCCTAACAATTAATATGAAAAACATCAGTCAGCATTTGACTTAATGATAGGTTGTACAAGAAATACTCTGGCTTTGAAAAAAGGAAATAATTTGGGAAGCTTGAAAAAAACACTGTATAAAGTTCAATGATTGCAAGAATTTTAATCAGAATGGATCTGTTCATAAAGGAGTTCCACCCAAAATGCAGGTAAACTAAGACGTGTGAAGTTACAAATTAGTATTTGTGATTTAATCTTATATTTAATATATTTATACTATTTTCCAAGTCATTGTTCAGTTTTTGCGACCCTGTTATATAACACATTAGTAAATGTATTTTTATTCTTGTTTTATTCATTTTACCATAAAGGGAAGTAGATTTGATCAATAAATAAGGAAAATTAATTTCTGTTCAATGTGTTTTAATTAGCTCCCCCTTTCTGCCTCCATTTTCCAGACACGTGGTGCTTACTGGGGCAGATATGGACTTACATAATAAGAAAAAAAGGATGGACCAGACAAATCTTTTTTTTTCAATGGTAATTTCTGACCACTTCTTAACAAAGATTTGCCAAGATATAATTATGTCTCTCAAAGATAATGCATTATAAAGTTTCCACCATGTATTTATCTTACACTTATGGCACTGAAACAGCTGATGCAGTCAGAACAAATTATAGTTTATATATATATTCTGATTCCTTACACATGAATCCATAAATACTAACCTGCAGCTGGTCCTGCCATTATAGATCCAAGAGCTATCATAAAAGACAGATAGCCATTTCCCTTGGCAATACATTCTGGGCCGAGTAACTCCCGCGAGGCCTGGGACAGAAATGTAGTCCAGTATCCACTATAAAATCCAAACAGTAGCGAGTACCCAATTTGTCCTGCATAGTCATCAAACAACAGGGGACACGTTCCTGTAATGACTACACCAAGTCCTATAGAGCACAAGATGGCGGTCATGTCATCTAACGTGCTATTGTGTCCCATAAAGGAAAAGATAACCCTGGAGGTAAAACTAGCCATCCCTACACAGGACACCAAAAATACTGAGGTATCAAAAGTGGAACCTTGGTCCATTGCGTAAGATGGCAAATACATATATATCACAGTAGAGCCAAAACTCCAAAAGAGGTTAGCTATACACATTCCATGGAAAGTGATATTTCGGAGTGGTACACAAGAGAGGAGGGGCATGAGATGCACTTGTTTGCTACGACCCACAGGGGTCATCAGGGCCCCACATACACAAAGGTTGAGGGCTATTCCAGACAGGATCCACAGTGTGCCTCTCCAGGCCAGGTGATCCAGCAGAGTCCGGATCAGAATAGGAAAGACAACTATTCCAGCTCCTACCCCACTCAGCACGACACTCAGAGCCTGTAGGCGCTGCTTGTAGAAATGTTGTTCTACTGCCATTATGGATGGGGTACAGGCCAATCCAAAGCCAATTCCTAAAAAGAAAACCACATGACACTCTTGTACTAGAAAACAATTTTTTCTGCAAGAATTTTATTTTTGCATAATTACCCACAATTATCTGCTTACAGATTTGTTTTTATGTTTATATATTATTACAGATTTCATTCAATATTAACCCAAATTTGTGGAAAAAAATTTGTAACATATTTATGCAAAAATTATCTTGAGAAAATTAGGTGTAACAAAAATTTGGAGATATATAGTATGCAAAATAACCAGAAGTGAAATCCTACATCTCAAATCAAACATGTGGCAGCACTATCTTTACTCACTTCATAACCTATATATGTGTGTGATGTGTATATGTTTAAGGCTTTATTCTAAATATGGATTCAACATTTGTCTAGCAGACATACACATAAAGGGGTTGCTTTTGTCTGGTCACAGGGGAATCAAATTTCTGGGTGCAAATGAATTCACTTTACAGAGATATTTATTTAGTGAATGTGCACTTAATTTTGGACTAGTGCAAAGTGTGTCTTCCTCATGAAGTTTGTCCTTGCCAAAATTTCAGCCAAGATGCATTAAATCTAGGGCAAAACACTTCAATGTCCCATGTGATCTAGATCTAGGTTTATTGATAATGAAGTATTTCTCAATTACCACTAATATGTACTCATAACTATTACAGTATCTGAGTAATATTCATCTGACATCATTTCTATGCTGTGTTGTGATAACAATACACATATCTGTATTATGAAGCTAATAATTTGTCAGAAAAAAGAAAAATAATTGTAAAATCCTTAAAATTTTTGTGGGGTTTAATATCTTAGCAATTTATTGGATGCTAACTCCACACTTGGTAAAACAAGACATTGAGAGATATACCAAAAATATATTGATATTGCATGTTGTCAAGTAACAAAACAGCTAGAGAACAAACTTTGTGATAATCTTCTTTTTGAAAAATGAAACATTTTCTATTTCATTAAAATTTAAATCTATGGCATTAAATTATGTGGCAGAAATTACATCCAACATCAATTTCAATTGACCTCCAGAATTTGTGTGTTTTATATTTTAAATCAATGGCGAAATACTACCACAAAATATTGAGACATCAATATTACTTCCATCATACCTTAGACTTTGCCAATACATGTATTGCAGAGAGTTATCACAGGGAAAAAATTATGCTTCAATTGCTGAACAAGCATGAAAGTGAGATAATATCTACAGACACTTTATTAACATTTGGTTATTGAATCTGATTGGTTGGTGCTGGCAAGAGTTTGGTTTTAAAGTGCATAAGTTTGTGAAATTCTTATATACCTGTGAGTACACCAAAGGAGAGATAGACCTGGTAAATCTCAGTGACCACCATACCCATGGAGAGACCTAGAGCTGAGATCAGTCCCCCCAGCATCACACTCCAGCGACAGCCAAACCTGGCCATGAAGCAGCGCATCACCACACCTGATGAGAAAAGAACATTTCATAAAACACAGAGACCTTGTCCATTTATCTTATATCCTAACTACAAAATTTGTCTCTCATTCAAGTATGTAATTAACAATTCATAAAAATGTGGCAGCTGCTCTAAAAAAAATTAAAACCAGAAGACTTGGATGAGACTTAAGCTCTAATGGTTACACTTGGACTTTCATCTTTACGTTTTTCATTCTTCAGTGACATTACTTCCTTCTCCACTTAATACAGAAACGAGCAAAATGTTAATACCACACCTTTTATCACAATAAACATTGACTGAGAGAACGTTAAAAGGTTTCTTCAGGAATCGTCATCTGTATTGGGTTTTATTCTAATGAGACAAAAACTGTAGACATGGTAGACAAAACATTTTGAAATAATTTTCATATTCTATTTTTTATGACAGTGCCAACACCATTCATTAAAATGAAAGAGTGGCACACAAATATATTCCCCTTACTGTAGTCTATACATTCCAACCAGGATTTATTCCAGCCAAGTGGAAACTAAATCTCCGGATCATTCTAAGTAGTCGCAGTGACAACGTTTATAAAACTTACAATTTCAAACAGATTTACCTACCATCTTACTAGATGTTTTTAAATTTTATGAAATTTTGATCAAATTAGACAGCTAAGTGTAGAAGCACACAACAGGATATTCTCTTTTTGTAATTATTGTGGCAACCAAATAGTGAATTTAAAATTCATAAACAAAATTTTGTGTCTTTGATTCATATACATGTAGTGTACAGGTGTATCATTATACTATCATTGTATATTTAATATCTCAAACTGTAGGAAGAGTAGCATTTTAATAGAGCTTAATTAAAGAATTCATATCTCAATGTATTATTTGCAACTATCACAACAATGTTCTTCATATTAAAATTTGATACTCAAAATTCTGTATCTTGATGTAGTCTACTTGTTGCCAAATTGTACTTATAATTAAATTCTATTCAAAAGTCATTTTAAAAGAATTTAACAAGGATATTCCAAGCTTAATAACCATGGCAACATAATCAAATGAAATAAGAAATCAAAAGATGGTATCTGTATTTGCAGATGTTGTCCATGAGCATAGATTTACTGAAATAAGATATAAACTGAAAAAGTAACATTTTGAGATTTATTTACAGGCAAACAGATAGACAAACAGCTCAACAGATGACAGACACTTTCCCAGTGCTTCTTTTTAACCCTTCTGGTTTTCAACCAGTTAATGCTAAATATAATAATCATTTGTTGTACCAATAACAATTTTAATATATTTGCTGAAATACAATTGGTATTATTGTGCAGGTAGAAAAGTATAAACTTTTACTTCCTTAATTAAATTAATATTTCCTGACCCAATTAAAACTTAAAAACTTCTGTGTCACATGAATACCGAGTCCAAATGTCCACAGAGATCTCCATGTAACAAGCAAGCTAGGCCAAGCATAATATTCCATTAATGTTCAAATATAAAATTCTACAAAAAAGATTTCCTACTTTAGAATTCAGTGACCTTGACCTTGTAGAATGACCTTTGTAGTTTGTACAGAATCTTGACCTTTCCCCTGGTCACAAGCAACCTTTGTGATGTTCTTATTCTTTCGCTATTCCTTAGTTTCAAAGTTTTGGCTTGAATTTTTAAATGACCTTGGCTCAGGTTAACGACCCTACCTTGGTCAAAAGTAAATTTTGTGCTCTGCATGAGCCTTTAACAACCTGCATTTTAAATTTAATGCAAAAAAAAACAATTTAAACAAACCAACCAACCAACAAAGAACTTCTAACCTCTAGTTGTGCCATTAACCTTATCCAAATGTCCTTTGGCCAGTCATGACAAGTACACATTGCACCAAGTATGAAATTCTATTTCTTTCTTTTTCAGAATTATGTTCCAAGTGTCCCCCCTCCAATTGTACCCTCACTCAATATGCCAAACTTTTATATAGATAAAACGAGATTAACTTTTTCTTTTTAAAAGAATGATACTCAATTTATTGAAAACGTTTTTTCTTCAAGATTGACATGTATTCAATTATTAAAAAAATAAAATAAAATTCCATAAGCAAATGAAGAGTATGCATTACATTATAGAAAAACTTACTTGTTAAAGCAGTTGTGTACAGCAAGATCGAGCCAACCCATGATGAGTTGAAATGGTCCTCATTGAATATTTTACTGAACACAATGTGGAACACTCCAATACTATATGTTATTCCACAAATAATGAACTGAGTAAAGAAGGCAGCGATGGCGACCACCCATCGGTACCCTCCGCCATCCCCCTGCAACATCGTGTCAGGCACACTGATCGCAATCATCTAGGGACTGAAAAAATAAAAATTCTAAAATATCAATACATGTATCTACTAAGGTCTTTGAATACACTCTGCAAGTATCATCAATAAATTTCTTGAATTACAAATATCATTTTGCCTATACAAAACAATATAATCTTGGGTTTCCAATTTGTTTAATCCTTTAGACATCAATTTTATACAGTCTGTCATCAACTGTTTTTTACACAGACATACTTGGTTTCCACATGATTTTGAAATATTTTCAAACATGTTATGATTATATTCATTTGGAAAATTTCAACAAATTTTACTGTAGATTTCTTTTTGAAACACAGCATTTATGAAACAATGCAGTATAGAACTATTTTATCAAGAATCTAGAGGGACAAATGTTGTTAATTAAGTTAACAAATATATCCTATCATCAGGCAGGGAGACTTTTGTCAATTACGTAAACGAATATATTGAATTACTTCTAAATCATGTTATTTTGCAATCACTTTGCTGTTTTGCAATCAAATACTGGTGAATGCTAGACACATTTACATGCTTATAATGTGACATAATATTTGTGCTATAAACACTTTATGCTAAACTTGTTATGGCTGTTGAAAAACTCTTGATTTATATCAGGAAAAGACTCATCAAACTAAACACGAGGGACTCTGGACAATTAAATATATGTGTGTGATGCATTCATAAAACTCTTTATGGCAAAGCACTTACAAGATATACAGGCATATCATCATGATCATAGACAAAAACAACCACTGGAGCAATATGGTCTTTATGGTGCATATTGAAACAAATCCCTATGGTGATCAACATGATCAAGGAACTGCATCAGATAAAAAATAATTTCACACAATTTACTTTATACTCAAGAAAAGCAAAAAGAACTTTAAACAAAAGGGTAGGAAGAAAAAAAATGTCTGAGGAAAGAGCAGAGCATGAGATAATTATTACAACCTCTCCTAAATAGTAAAGAATATCTGGCAAACTTGAAATTAAAACCTTCAATACGTACATGTTACATTTCATGAATCTAATGAGTACTCTATACATTGTAGCACACACACCAGTATGACCAAGCACATAAGTACAGAAATCTTATAAATGTCCTGATTATTTAAAGGTAGCCTTGGTCTGTTCTAGGCTATATTTAGTGAGCCATGTAAAAATCTATTCCATATGCATACCAAGGTTTAATCTTATCCAGCATTTTAGTAAAATGATTTGTGGTTGAGTTATTCAATTTTAAATTTAATCTGATTAAATCTGAACTTTAAAGGGTATATAATTATACAATTTAAATTTCATCTTTAATTACTCATTTCCGAAAAATTACCTATACATATGTATATCCTTTGCAGTGATAATATGAACAATCATGTAGAAGTGTATGATGGAGATTTAGTCGACCAACAAGAATTTACCTTTACTGTAACTTTGTACATGTATATACTAAAACGTACTTTATAAATGTTTTTATTATCTGGTAAAACTACATATTGCTATTATAATATCTATTGATGTCAAGAAACTAGAATTAAATACATTGTGTAATACCATGTGCCTCTGTGTTAACTGGTTCACTATCCTTATAATTCCATTCAATGCTGTGGTTACAGAGTATTTTTTTAATTGTACTAACTAATTTAAAAGCGAACCAGTCCAACCTTCAGTGTTGTTTGACCATAAAGAAGTGTTCACGGTATAAACCAACTAGGTCACATAGCTATAATAATGAGACTTATAACTGCTTTGTTCAACACATGCTTTTAAATAGACATATTTTGTGTACATACTTAAATTGGACAATTGCCTAGTTTTTAAGAGTTGAATTATTTAGATGACATATGTATAAATAATAATTAAGCTTGAATGTATATGAGTATACATGCATTTTAATACTCTATATTTTTAAAAAAAATATTTTTGCTACTATATTTCTAATACCAGTCAAGACAATCGAGATCTTAATTATAATTCAATTCTTTCAAAATTTGACAGCCAAGTTAACACAGGAATTCAAGTCTTTTAAATTACCTTCATTAGAGAATTAATTTAACGGCGTAAATATTTATATTCATTGATTTACCATCACTTTACTCAGATCAGATGTGTCCAATAATTGAGGTTAGGTTTAAATTTTTCAGACTAAAACTCCATGGTCAAAGTAACTTCAAAGAGCTGTTCAAAAGGTAATAAAACTAGGTACGAAGGTTATCAAAATGTATCACACAGGTCAGTCGAACAAAATGTAAGAGAAAAAAGCTTACAAATGCAAAATTGAAAAAATAAAACTAAGATGTGAACATAAACTACAAATTTTTAATTTGAAGAGTTAAAAAAAGGTCATTACATTTTTCCATTTGTCTTATCAGTCAGTGGTCAGATCGAACCATCGTTTTTACTTACCTGAAACGGGATACCTTTCATTGCTCACAATGACGTTTTTGTTATTTACAGATATTATCCGAATATAATCAATGTTAGTAGTGGACAAAAAATGTGACAGACAGCAATTTTTCTTTGTGTCTCTCAAGCACTGACGAAAAACAGCTGACGATACGAGCGTAAGAGGGCAAAGGTCATACTGGCTCCACGTGATCTATTTGTTTACAACTGTCAATCAATTTACCTTTCCTGTAGCTTTGTAATACCCGCTATCAAGTCAGTTATATCACCTTATTTATATTCAGAATGAATTATAGTCCATCAATTAAAAGGAAAGAGTTAATTGTGGAAGAAGAAAAAATATACATGACCACGTTGAAAATAAGTGCCCCGAATTTACACTGCATACATGCATCGTACAAAATAAACGTATTACTAAGATTTCGGAACTACATAAGATTTTTAAAGCACCTGTTAAACGAAGGTGAAATTCAAGTAATCAGACAAAGCTGACGAAAAGCTTCAATACACATGGCGCGAGGAAATATAAACAATATAATGTACTTGGCGGAAATAAAGTTACATGGTTAAAAAAAGAATATTAGTAAACATTCCAAAAAAAAAACTATTATCTTGGAATTAGTTTACTCTCCTTTAGTCCTTACGATTTATAAACATAACGTCATAATAAGAAATTATCCCGGACATTGGTCAAAAATAATATGAATATGGTCATTAATCCATCTTTAACCACGTGTAAACTATCCCGCGCTAACATGGCACGAAGTAAAAGATGGAATACTTCCATTTACGTGAAATAAATAACATAAATATAATTTGAAGTCAGCACCAGTATGCCAATACACATATTGCTTTGTGTATTACCTTACAGCAATTCTATATCCTCTGGCCGTGTTCTTCCATGTTTTTTCAATGAATCGCTACACTTCCGTTCGCTTTGCTGACGTTACATGTTGACAACCATTGGAGTAAGCGTGGTTAGTTTTTACTGAATTTCGTTATACTCTCCACGGTCATTTCACGTAACCTTTAGTATGTTTAGTGCCATGTTGCAGTTTTATAACATGGCATGTAGATATTTTTCTTCTCTGTTATGGTCACGTGGTCATTGACGTGGAATATGGAATCGATTTCTGTGCTTTAGCAAACTTAATGCGTTTTTTCCCCCAATAAATGTGGAAAATGAATTTGATATTACATTTCAAACAGATTTACTTTGTTTTTCCTTTAGAAAGCAGTATACACACAATGTAAATTTGTTCATAATTAACATATATATTTGTTTCTTTTCAAATTAAACTTTTAAGGCATATATTTTTTTTTTTTATTTTCAGAGTACCGATGAACTGTGGAGAACAATTCATGTTTTCTGTCATTCATAATAAAGAGTTGATTCTTATCCCAGAATTTACTGTTATAATTATACATCAGTACAAAATTATTTCACTTCCAGTAGAGTTATTCCCCTTTACGCAGTGAGTAACGATGTTCATAAAACGAGTCCAGAGATCCTCCTTTTTTGACAGGGTACCTTCCTTTTCTTTTACTAGGTCCTCTAGGGGACATTCTGGATCTGTCCATGTACTCTTTCTTCTCCTAAATAGGAACAAAATTACTGTCTTTTGCTGTAACTATTGATTCATGAGGAAAAAAGTAAAAGTATACCAAAAACTGTGTGAAAAGTTTCATAAACGCTGTAACCCTAACCACTGAGCTACACAGGTTGATATTCATGGTCGAAATAGCCTAAACAACTACATTCTTCCCTCCATAAGTAGTATTTGACCTTGAAAACACACAACTCGGATTCTTTAGCCCCTGGCAGGACTTTCACCTTAAAGTTCAGGGGTGCTGAACAGTGCCAAATGTAACACAAAAGGGTATAATTTACTGGGAATTGAACTTGGGACCCATGCATTACTAGTCAGGAGCTATAACCACCGAGCTTATCAAAGCAATATCCACAGTCCTTATAGCCCAAACCACTACATTCCTCCCTCTAAATTGTGTATGCCCTGGTAGACAACCAAGATTTCCTAGCCTTCCACTATGCTTCTAGGCCTAGGGGTGGTCAACTGCACCAAATGTAACAGGAAAGGAGGAAAATTGTGGATGTATTTGGAATCAAACTTGGGAAACTGCATTACTAGTCTGGTGCTCTAACTACTGAGCTATCCAGGCTAATATATCCATGGTCCATATACCGGTAGCCGGAACCAGTACATTACTGCGAAATTACAGAGTCCACTAGAACTGTATGGGCATTACTTCTGTAAATGTTTATTTTGGATATAATAACTTGTGTTCAATGACAGACAGGTTAAATGTAAGCAATATACATGGCCGTAGGAACCGGGGGCGCACAGGGGGCCGTGCCCCCCCCCCCCCCAATAATTTTGCCGATATATAGAATACTATAAAAAACATAGCTGCTATATTTTTTGCTTGTCAAGGAATTTTTGGTAGTTGATAGTGCCCCCCAACTGAAAATGTAGACTGTGCCCCCCCCTCCCCAACTGAAATTGATTCCTACAAGCCTGATATATGACAAAAAAGGTTTATTAACCTGATAACTAGCAAGTCAGATGGAACTATATGATGCATGTTGCAAAAAATCCAATCCCATATTTTACAGTCAATATTTTAATAGACCATCTCAGGCTTTTATCATTGTTTACTCTCAATATAGAACTCAAATATTTTAAGAAAATTTTAATCAGGTATATTTTTAATCCATTTATGAATCTTAAAGGGACACTTACAGATATTGATAACCAAAAGAATTTTGGAACCTTAATGATACTGAATTGACAAACATTTACAAAACATCTTTTAAGTCTTAGCTGTTAATCTTTTTTCCTGAAATACCATGGACAGGTATGAAACTTTTTCAGAGAGATCATCTACTCCTTAAAGGAAACCAGTGTACCAAGTTTGATGTCTGTCAAGCAAAGGGTTCTCAAGATATTGAGCAATTAATGTATCCCTATGTCCAGTTTGACCTTTGACCTTAAGACCTCAAAATCAATAGTGGTCATATATTTTTCAAGGCATACCAGTGTTTTAAGTTTTATGACTGTCAAGCAAATGGTTCTCAGGATATTGAACTAACAATATTCTTCTATGTCTAGAGTAATTTGACCCTTGACCTTGTGACCTCAAATCAATAGGGGTCATCTACTCTTTAGGGGATACCAGTGTACCAAGTTTGATGTCTGTCAAGCAAAGGGTTCTCAAGATATTGAGCCTACAACACTTCCTCCAACATGCCAACCGACCAACAGGTGCAAAGCAATATGCTCCCTTTTTCAAGGGGGGCATAAAAATAACCTTCATGAAAGAATAGTTTCACAAGACATCTCTCTTTGAAGTATCAGTAAGCAAGGGAGTGGGAAAGCTCTGATTTATTTAGTGTTTCATTTCTTTATTCAGGATGTGAGTATGTACAGTACATTAGATAAATTCAAAAAGTACTGACATCTGAAAAGAAGTGTGCCACACAGAAAGTAACATCTATGATGACATTGCTGTGTGCTTGAGGATGAAATATGATATCTTTAGTGTTGTATAGGTAATGATATAATGGTACTGTGTGTGTGTGAACTGTAGAGTGTGAGTTTTTTTTTTCATGTGGGGTACAAAATAAACTTAGAATCATAAAGTTACCATTTTTGAGTTTTCCTTCCAGACTCGATCTTCAGTAATACCAAGTAAAATCTTAATACCTTAACCGAATCATGTACATGTGTGCAGGCATTTTTTGTGTGTATGTGTGTGAACCTTGTCTTTGTTTACATGCAACCATGGAATTTAGGAGTTGGATACAAAGACAAGAAATACCCGCGGACTCTTCCTCACCTGATACAGCTTGTCTTTTTCCTTCATTTTCCATCGTCTTCTGGTAGCCTGAAACATCAACATTCTACTGTTAGATGATATGAAACCTTTTTACCATCATTTCATTTTTACTTATTTCCCTATTCACCATCACCCATCCAACAGGAAAAATACCTTTGCACAAATTTGCCTGAGCTTGTATTACAGTTTTTCAACACATGCAAAGATTTAATTTATACATATACAATTAAACAAGACTTACATAACTTTCAGTACTATCACTACATGTAATTATATAAGGACTATAAAGTATGAACTGGGTATATTCTCTATTTATATATTATTTTGATTCTCTTGAAGCTTGATTGTCTTAGTTATTCGTCTTGCTACCATTTTATTTACAAATATTTACATTTCCAATGTCTTTGTCTGAGATAAAATTTCAAATAGTAAAAATACTTTATTTCTACATAAATCTACTGGTTCATCGATAGGCGTGGTGAAAAAAAAAATCACGTGCGGGGCGGAACAAATAGAGACAGAAGCGGGGCCTGTAGCACGTGAATTTGCAGAATCAAGAGCAGGTAAATATAAGGAATAACTGTCAGATTTTTTGGTTTCATGACGATGATCAATCAATTGGCTTGCGTGATAATTTTATGCATAAACGCTGAAGGCGTTTATGCAAATTATCATGCAAGCAATTCGATTGATCACATCATGAAACCAAAAAATTAGACAGTTATTCCTTAAGTCTGTCACAGTTTCTACTTACAGTGAAGGTGATGTAAATACCGAAGATGACATGGAAAAACAGAAATATGATTGTCAGACACACAATGGAATTGCGATCGTAGACTTTCACTTCTTTTGCACTATACACGGCTGCCAAGGATTTCATTGTTGCATTCTGAGTAGCATTCATGGCCAGGAATATCAGTGCCGCCAATACGTATAAATCCTACAGGAAAATTTTGGTTTGATCACATAGATTTTTCACTAGTATGATACAAATTTAAGATTTGTTCATAAACAATATGATCTTTAACTTTGTACACACACAAAAAAAAACAACAACAAAAAAGACAAGATCTGTTTGTGAAACACTGATGTCCCCTGCATGACAACTTCTAGCGAAGGTTAAACTTTCTCAAACGCAAATCAAATATATTGATACCCAAAGTAAGGTCTTGTCTCAAGGAATATACCTGTGAAATATGAAAGCCCTAGCAGCATTAAATAGATTAGGAAAAGGTTAAAGTTTTTCAAAAGTAAGTCAAACATTAAGGTCAAGTTCAAATGGTAACAAGAGGCCCATGGGCCACAACGCTTACCTGAGTAACTTTGGCCTTTTCACCTGATTTTCCCCCTTGTAGTACTTATTGTGGCCCCACCCTTCCCCGGGGGTCATGATTCGAACAATTTAGAATCTACACTACCCCAGGATGCCACCAATTAGGTTTCAGCCTTTCTGGCCCAGTGGTCTTGAGAAGATTTTTAAAGATTTTCCCTACATATTTCAATGTGAAAATTGGATTCTCTTTTGTGGCCCCGCCCTTCTCCCAGGGGTCATGATTCGAACAATTTAGAATCTACAATACCCGAGGATGCTGCCACTTAAGTTTCAGCCTTTCTGACCAAGTGGTTCTTGAGAAGATTTTTAAAGATTTTCCCTACATATTTCAATGTGAAAATTGGATTCCCTTTTGTGGCCCCGCCCTTCTCCCAGGGGTCATGATTTGAACAATTTAGAATCTACACTACCCCAGGATGGTGCCACTTAAGTTTTTTCTACATATTTCAATGTAAAACTTGGATTCATTATTGTGGCCCCGACCTACCCCTGGGGGTCATGATTTAAACAATTAGAATCTACACTACCCCAGAATGCTTCCACACAAGTTTCAGATTTTTTTCTACATATTTCAATGTAAAACTTGGATTCCCTATTGTGGACCCGCCCTAACCCCAGGGGTCATGATTTAAACAATTAGAATCTACACTACCCCAGGATGCTTCCACATAAGTTTCAGCTTTTCTGGCCCAGTGGTTCTTGATAAGGTTTTTTAATGACCTCACCGAATTTTTGTCTTTTCTTGATTATCTCTCCTTAGAAGAGAGCTTGGCCCTTTATTCTAAGAATTTAAACTCCCCTTTACCCAAGGATTCTTTGTACCAAGTTTGATTGGCCGAGTGGTTCTTAAGAAGTTGAAAATGTGAAAAGTTTACAGACGGACAGACAGACGACGGACAACGGATGATCAGAAAAGCTCTCTTGAGCTTTCAGCTCAGGTGAGCTAAAAATCAATGGTGCCCAAGGAAAGACCATCTCATAAGAAAAACACATGTAAAATATGAAAGCCTTAGCACCAACCATTCAAAAGTTATGTCCAATGTTAAAGTTTTTCAAAAGTAGGTCAAACTCCAAGGTCAATGTCAATGATCTTTTAATTGTTGGTATCCAAAGGAAGGTCTTGTCACAAGGAATACACATGTGAAGTATGAAAGCCCTAGCACTAACTGTTCAAAAATTTATGGGCAATGTTAAAAGTTTTCCAAAAGTAGGTCAAACTCCAAGGGTCAAAGTTGTTGGTATCTAAAGGAAGGTCTTGTCACAAGGATTGCATATGTGAAGTATGAAAGCCCTAGCACCAACTGTTCAAAAGTAATGGCAAAGGTTAAAGTTTTTCAAAAATAGGTCAAACTCCTAGGTCAAAGTCAAAGAGTCAAAGTTGTTTTTGGTTTGAACATATTTTATTGTAGTTTCTAATTACAAAGGGATTAAGCACTAGTTCTAAAAACTTATTACGCCACTTATGTTGGCCATTAAAGTTGTTTTATCCAAAGGAAGGATTTGTCACAAGGATTACACATATGAAGCATGAAAGCCCTAGCACCAATTGTTCAAAAGTTATGGCCAAGGTTAAAGTTGGGTCAAATTTTGCAAAACTGGGTCAAACTCCATGGTCAAGGTCAAATATGATGGTACCCAAAGAAAGGTCTTGTCACAAGAAATACACATGTGGAATACGAAAGCCATAGCTCCCACCAATCAAAAGTTATGGGCAATGTTAAAGTTTTTCCGGACAAACAGACAGACAGACAGACAGACAGAAAGAGCAAAAACTATATGCCCCCAATCTTTGATAAAAATAGGTTAGGTCAGTTATAAATCTTGTTCATAAGAACCACAAGACCAGAAATCACTAAGTTCAAGCTCAATCTTTTGTACTGTCAGTGTACATGTAGCTTAAAGTTGGAAAAATTTAACATCTAGGGGCTACAACTGCTTATATTAATATGCAAGCCTTTTCATAGGGCATAAATTAAGTTTATTCAAATCACAGTCCCCAGGGCTAGACAATGGTCAAAGTATTGCATGAGAATACATAGGAAAATCTCTTTAGAATAATCTCTCAAGACCAAGGTCTCAGCTGTATTGATTTATTATACGAGAGCATCTCCCTTGTTCACATCAAGATTCCTACAATATTAGAATGAGGCCACAAAAGGGGATCAGAGTTTATCTAAGAAAATGAAGAGATAATCTTTTAAAGACTTTGAAAAGATGCCATTGAATTTTCACTAATTCTGTATCATTTCCCCTTGGACATAGTCCTTCATTTGAATAAACTTGAATATCCCTCACCCAAGAATGCATTGTGGCAAGTTTGGTTGAAATTGGTCTGATGGTTCTTGAGAAGAGGTCAAAAATGTGAAAAGTTTACAGATGACACATGAGAGACAACAGACAGATGCCGTACACCCTTTAATCAGAAAAGCTCACTAAGCCTTCTGCTCAGCTGAGCTGAAAACAGTTTACAGAATATTGGCTTTCTTGAATGCAGATAGAACTCACTAAGCCTTCTGCTCAGCTGAGCTGAAAACAGTTTACAGAATATTGGCTTTCTTGAATGCAGATAGAACTTGCTTGCCTCGGTATGCAGCAAAAGCATGGAAGATTGTCAGGGCTAGTTTTTTGCTAAATTGAAAGTGTAGATTTTGACATACATAATTATTTTTTCTCTTGATTCTAACATAGTTTTCCTTGGTGTCCCAGTGAATGCAACATTAGCCAGCAATTTGGAAACTATGTGGGTAATTCTTTTCTGGAAATTACACTGCATAATAGGGACATAATCTATGGCTTGTCACTAACTCTGGAAACATTAACTTGTTTTGCACCAGGCTGCTCATTGAGAACTGCAATGTCATGACCAGCCTAGCAAAAAAATTTCCATCTTGCAGAACAATTTTTTCAATCCAAAATTGGATCAAGTCTCTAGATACATGTATTCATTCTTAGCTTTCTAAAAATCATCAGGTCTCTGTTTATTACCCTTTGGCACTTGTTTTTAGTAAAGTTCATTCTATTAAGAATAGATCACTCTCATTCTAAAATACTTAAAATTCTTCTAAAAGAAATGGTGAAGAACAATACTCTTTCCGATGCACCAAATCATGTTTGTATTTATTTATATTCCCTCAAATTCTTGGTAATTTTTAATATCTCTTACATCAAGAATTTCATTTTTGTGCTCGTTTTTGACTAGCATTTTGGAAAAATATTGATAGAATCCATAATAGATTGCCTTGTAATATCAGCTTTAGTTGGTGGGGAAAAATATTTATAGAACCCTAGCTGTTTTCGGTTACTATTTCAACTTGACAACCAGCCTCTCACACCATTTTATTTCTTATCCTGGGGCCAGAGTCATTAAATTGGGAAAATTAGCGACCTTTTTGGGAATTGTTGAAAAATCATCATACATTAAAACTCATCATATTTTTGGATTCTGGTGTTTGGTCTTAACTTAATTTCTGTTTTGCAATATCAGTGTTTGAAACTCATGGTAGAATTAGCTAGACATGCAGGGCTGTTGTCAACCCTGCCAAAACTCAACTTGCCTGAGAAAATGAAAGTCTTTTATGAGTATGTTTTAAGCGATAATAAGAGTCTTTATATGTTTTTAGTGATAATAAAAGTCTTTTATGAATACTGGTATGTTTTTAGCGATAATGTGAATGGGGCACAGTCACCATAACTTCCATCCCGAATCTATAGGCTGTGGAATTCTACCCCTTTGCTTGTTACACTTAGCTACCGATACTATTAGTTGATTTGAGAGGTATTTATTAATTATATGAATTTTAATTCATGGCAAATTTTAACATGTCCAGCCGGGCGTTATTATGTGCAAATCTGTTCATCCACGGCAAAATTTGTACGTCTCGGGCGGTCAGGCGCACAGTTATTTCAAACACTGCAATATACAGGAACATGAGTAGTAAGTTTATTTATACACCTAAATACATGGGCTTTTTTTTAATTTTGGAGGTAATGACTAATGGAAAAATTAATACTATCAGTTTGGATAAAAGGTAAGTTTTTAAAATTGAGAACAGGGCCTTTCAACAGTCCCAGTTATAGACAATCAAGAGCCCTGCGACAAAGGAGTACTTTCTGATACATGTATTTCCACATCAACAATTTCAAAATCTGTACGGATTTTATCTCCTGGATATTTGGTCTGACATTAAATTGAGCAGTCCAGACTCAGGACTTCTGACTAGCTATTTTCAAACAACATGTAGCTTAGCATTTTGACTGATTGATTATTCTAAAAATACTATTTATAAGGAAGGATGATTTCATATGCCTTCACTTAGCATATACATGTCTATATTCTGTCTGAGATACAAAAAAATTGTGTGAGTTTCTACCAGAAAAATTTCTAGAGTTCATCAATTGCTCAAACTTTCAAGCCGTCAACAAAACATGTATACAGTACTTATCAGGAAGAGATCAGTAACTCAGGTTAGCATTGTGGCCCATGTGCTTTGCCTCTTTTTATTGTATGAGAAATCGGATATCAATCTTTTTGGATAAAGACATTGGTTGGTCACATGATCAAATTCTGAGGGGATTTATTGTAGATTTGATAAAGTACAAACCCTCATCTACATCCTGCAAGATATTTAAAAATGATACCTTATTTCTAATATTTATATTTATTGAATCTGTTGAATGTGTCAATCACTTATGATGTCACTTAGATGTGTAATTACACAGTAACTTAATGAGAAGAAATTAATTCACCAAAAAACAGTCTGACCAAATATATTGTCTAGAAATATTTACCAGGTAGGTAAGATAAGAAATAGTGGGTAGACTCTGTTTGACCACAAGTTTAAAGGCTACAGCAGTAAGAAAGAGAGTGATGTTGACTGCTAGTCTGTCCGAGGAGTCCACCTCAATGGAGTAAGAGGCGAAAGTCAAGGCTATGATCAGGAACTGCAGAAAAAAAGGCTAATTTTAATTAGATTAACGTAGAAATATTTACACAATTATGATAATGGTTATAGGAAATCTTTGGTCAAAGCTAATTACTTTCATTCTAGTGTTCATTCTGGTGTTTTAGTTTAAGATCTGCAAATTCAAAGCATTAAATTCTCATAAGAATTGATATCATATTAAAATGATATAACCAACCAATAGGTGGTTCTTAACAAGTTCTCCATACACAAGTCAAGAAATCAACTATATATGCCTCATAAAGAATTTTACATCTATTATTGAGTAAATAAATAAAGAAAAAACAATATAGAGTTACATATGAACAATTCCAAAAAATAGTATAAATGATTGTTTACAGTCATTTACTATTTGCTTATAGCTGCTTTTATACTAAAAAAAGAAACTTCTGAAGTAAAATTGTAAAGATACAACAGTTACTAACAACAATGAATATGATATTCCAGACAAAGTAACCTATCTTCCTAGCCACACGACACTGGACGTGAAGAATAGGGTGGACTGTAGACCTGGCATACTCTATAGTTGTCTGATCTTGGTATGTCTCTGTATGGTTATAGAGGCTCCACTCTGAAGCATCCAGAAAAGCCTGTGTGTTTACAGAACTTAATGAGAAATGGTCCTCTATCAACTCCACCTCTTGAATTGTGCGCTCTGTGGAGATGGATATAGTCAGGTCCTGTAGAGAATGAGAATTACCAATGCCCATATTTAACTGTATGTAACAAGAAGTCTGTGAGCCATTCCTCACTAGTAATACCCCGCTCTGATGTGAAAATATGCTCTCATGAATCCCACCATATGGCATGCCTAGACAAAGAGTTTTATAAAATTTCAAGGATCTGCGATAAGTAGTTGTTGAGAAAACTGTGACAAAAATTTGGTATAGACAGACGCACAGATAAACAGAAGTTGACATCGGATTTGTACAAAAAATAATTCCCACCAAATGGCACGCCTAGACAAAGAGTGTGATAAAATTTCATGCATCGGCCATGAGTAGTTACTGAGAAAACTGTGACGAAAATTTGGTATGGACAGACACACAGAAAGACAACTAGACAGACACACACGGGTAAAACAGTATACCCCCTCTTCTTCGTGGCGGGGTTATAAATATAACCATTTAAAAAGATGAAGTTGACTTCACTTTTTGGCAGTACAACTGAAAAAAGTATATGAAATATGAAAACTGGTTCAATCTGTCAGAACATTCTGTGGGAGATGAAACATTTCATTAATAATACATGTTTTTTTTTTGTTTTCACAATATACTGTGGCGGTCAGACGGGTTCAATCACCGGTGACCAGATAGCTCAGAAGGTATAACACCTGACTGGAGATTCAGGGTGTCCGGTTTGAACCCGGTCTGGTCTGTCACACTTTTCTCCTCTCCTGTTACATTTGGTGCCATGACCAGAATGTGGAAGTGACAAGTGAAAGACCTGCCAGAGAAGAGTCTGGATTGGTGTCTTCGGGGGTGAAGACCTTTAAGGAGGGAGGAATTATCGATCGCCCATGGCCAGATAGCAAAGTTGGTAGAGCACCTGCCTGGAGATTCAGGGGGCCTGGGTTCGAATTCCGTCACATTTTTCTCCTCTCCAGTTACATTTGATGCTGTCACATTTTTCTCCTCTCAGGTTACAATACATATGTATATATAATGTAAAGGTGTTCTTCAAATCACTCACGGCTTTGAAAACTGTCCAGATTAAGTTGAATCATTGTATCATTACTGTGTAATAGGAAAAGAGAACATTTATGGCTGGACTGGGGATTTAACATGGAACTCCTGCATTACTAGTCAAGTGCTCTAACCACTGAGTTACCCAAGCTATTCCATACAGCCAAAACTGCTACATTAAGTTGCATGCTTTGTTTACCTGAACATCTATTGGAAAGTGTTGCAGTTCTAAGTTTTCCTTGAAGAATGCTTTGAATCTCCATATGAGGTTGACCTGAGGAGGCTGATTATCACTGTGTGAAATAGAATACTCATTGTGTTCCTCCAGAAATGAGCCATCCACATTTATAATGATTAACTTTGGAGTCCACATTATCACTGGGTCAAATACCTGGCATATTAAAAACAAATTACTTTTTAAAAGAGTTACTATATATACAGGTGTACAAAGGGTTTTAAACCCCACATGCTGTGTATATGCATATTTCAAAAGTGTAACACTCATTTATTCATTGTCTTCCTTTTTTTACATTACCTGGTAATTTTTATTTGACATTATATATATGGAAATATTGAACCCCAAGTAAACTTCTGCCATTACCTTGTCATCTTCTTTGAGTGAGGGATCTTCCCATTTAGCTTGGATGAAGATCTCGGCTTGAAACTTCTGGTCTACTGTGTCAATGTCGTTAATTTTCATAAAAGTTAATCTTAACTCTACCGTCACCTAAAATAAAGCATCCCACAATTACCAAAATATTCTTAGTGGATTAAATTACCTTAGTATTACTGACTCCATATCTATTGCATTGATTTCTGAGATATGGACTCAATATATAAGACTGCACCTTCTATCTCTATAATACTCAAAATTCAACACTGTACATGTACGTTATAATGTAAACCAACTTTAATTCGTGTGTGAGAAATATCCGAGAGTTTCGCAACCTACTTAAACTCACGAATATTAATTGCCGTGAACCATTTATTTTGCTTTGTATTAATTTGTAGAGAATGTTTCCTCAATCTTGAAAATTAATTGTCGTGGATTGATTTCAAATGGACAAATCACGAATAAAAGATGACACAAATAATAGTTGGTTTACAGTAATTAGTTTTATCATTATGTTGTTATATTCGCGCTACTAAAACAATAATTGGTTGAATGTTCATCCATGCCAAAGTAATGAAATCAAACCTACCCTTTCCTCTCGATGAGCATGAGCAATTTTTGATAGTACTGATAAAACTGGTGCTGCCCCCTGTAAGCTCTCTGATTCACTCGCAGATAACTCGATGAGTCGAGCAAGGAATTCATTATTTTTTTCGATATTGAGAGACAAATCTTTGAATAATTTGGGTAAAGTTGTCTTTTCATCTTTTGAATCCTCAGAAGGTAAAGTCTGAACAGTTAGCATGATCCATAAAAAATGCTAATCTAAAACAAAGACATGTATGTGTATTCAAAAATATGACATGATGTGCCATCTAGTTATTAAGTGTATATCTTAAGATACTGTACACGGGGGTATCAACATGTGTTCATGTTGTTAATTCCACAAATTAGAAGAAGCAGGATTATTTTGTTAAAACCGAATAAAATATCTTCAAAGGCATCAGCATGCCAGGGAAAGGGGGGAGGATTTACAGGAAAGCTTTCTTTCCTCGCTTTTTGTGTAAATTTCCACATTTATATATCTTTCTTGTAAATCACTTTGAAAAATGCAAGAATGAAAAAATTAAATGTTATGATTAAATACTGCATGAAATGTTGAGAAATTAGTCATTAGTCTGACATTAGCTTTATAGTTTGTATCACGTTTCTTTTTAGGGAAAAAAAATCATGTCATTAGGCCTTCAGCACAGTATTGCAGCAAGCATGTGTATGAATATATGCCTACCACAGGGCAATAAAACAACAGTAAAAGCCTGTTGGGTTTTCAGCTTTATCTTCATCTTCTACAAATGTGTTAGGTATCTTTTTTTTTTTTTGGTGTTTAGCAAATTATACTTCCAAATACCCCAAGGAGTTCTCAGCAACAATAAAAAGAATACAGTAAGACTAAGTACTGCAAGACTTTCAATGGATCAGATAAGTCATTCATAGAAGCATAACTTGGAAGTAGTGCTCAGATGCAGATCCAGGATTTTTTTCCGGGTAGGGGGAGGGGCACCCCAGTCAAAACAAAATTTCCAATCCAGAAATTTCTTGACAAGCTAAGAAAAGAAAAAAAACTACCCCCTTCTGGATGATCCATGCATGGTGCTGTATATTGACTGCACATGGATGATGGAGAGATAGAAACAGAAAAGTTACATAAGTTTCAGTTTCTATCTCTCTCTAGAAGACTTTGAGGATACCTATTTGAATATAAATCTAAGAGAAATATTGATGATTTCTGAAAAAGAAGTTTGCTTGTGTTATTTATCCTCAGTAATCATGTCAATTTCACATTACTTTTTTTTTTTTTTTTTTTTTACTGAATAAAAAAACTCTTTTTTGGCAAACATTTATGCAAAGTTTAAATTACTGTAGTCGACAATACACATTTTCTCTATGGTATTTAAAGGACTTATTTCATGTTTCTAAATTATTTGAAATTAAAAGCATAAAACGTTCCTTGTGACCACAGTTTATAAATTTTGTGTTTTTACTGCAGATAAATCGCGGTAATTAATCAATTATTAACTCAAATGAAAACCCCTGATTTAAAAATCCAAGTTAATTAGATAGCGATCACGTAACCCTGTGACGTCAAAGGCGACAATGGCTATTCAGCTCCACGTTAATCTTACGAAAATATACGCGATACAACCTGAATTTTCTGCGTTGTGGATGAACAAATCGCTTATTTTATCGATATGAAATTGAATATCCAACCTTATATGTTAGAATTTGCAGCAAGAAAAAATCAGAAAAATCTGTTTACATTGTATTTAAATAGCATCGACGATAGCGAGGGAGACGCGGCGAAGACGAAGAAACTCGCCATCAGAATACGATTTGATTTGTCATCTTATCACACGTATTCACTTATTTGATTCACAAATTTAACATTATATAACTTTGTTGTTCTTTATTTTTAACATAATATTAATTTATGCAAGTCTTCATATGTTTTTTTAAAGGATGGCGATCTTGAAAAATAATTTCCCGATCACGAAACATTGCCGTAATCAAAGCTACAGATTCTAAATGTTTGGAATAAAAAAACGAAAATATCTCAGAAGCCTTATACCATAGAACTAGTTAATGTTTCTATAGTAATTGAGAAGCACGTTAGGCATTAATTTTTTCAGCATTTTTCGTAATTAAGCTGCATTTCTTGTTGATAACTCCGTAATGAGTGTGCAAGTTCTCATCTCTCTATCACTGAATTGTCGCCTATGACGTCAGAGCAGTATTTCGCCGAAATCCGACTGAAATATGCATATTGCCATATTTGAATTTCAACTCCTAATATCTCTTAAAATATGCTTTCAACAACGTTTATTCTATTCAGTATTTTAATAAAAAAGGTTGTAGATAATATTTTTCATAAAATTACAATTTTTGAAAGATCATGCGATAAGTCCTTTAAAAGAAGCAGGTTACAGCAAATGTCCTTTGTCGAACTGACCCGCAAAATATGAAGGGGTCAAGAGAGAGTCTGAGAGACCGCGTCTTTTGATTTTAAATAACAATAACATTCGAAAGGGTGTTATTTTATAGGGGTAGGAGATACAAATATATGACTAATTTGAATAAAACCCATACTTTTTCATGAAATTGTTGCTTGTATCCGTCCTCAAACATCGTCTGCAAAACAGCCGGATGCTACGATTCGTACGTATTATTTTGAAACTTTTCCGGTAAACTATCCGCATAAAGAAGACAATTTTTTTTTAATTTTTATTATTTATTTATTTTTTTTACTTTTTAGGCATCTGCATCATATTTTGTATCAAGAAAGAATTTTAAATTTGATTTTTAAGGAAAAGTATCTTTTCTTTGGGTGTATTTTAGCCTATACACATCTTCAATTTTAGTAATTTGTTATAACAAATAAATAATATTTGTTACAACGAATCAGTAATTTGATATAACAAGTTACTGATTTGTTATAACAAAGTATTTATTTTTTATAACAAATTGATAATTTGTTATGACAAATTATTGAAATTGATAATAAAAAAGATATTGCTGCGGTCCAAATACGCTTAGACTGTATGTATGTATGAGGCGATAAGCAACAGGTACAGGGCAAACTTATCACAAGTTTCCCTGTCAATCTGGGTACGACCAGTTGATTCCTGTGAGGGAGCCTGGTAATTTTTTTCGCGTCAAATTCTTTATTTTTATGATTTTATAGAACAGATCATTTATTTTCAAGATGACCAAACACAGAAAAGAAATCAAGTTTGTTCAATTCATAGACCGCACGGAGTAGGGTGAAACCACGATAAGAGATCAAAGTTTTATTTATGAAATTATAGGGAAAGTTTTAAAATTTTCTGAAGAACAATAGGTCCATGATTAATAATATATGCAAGCATTCTTGGATAGTATCAATTAAATTTAATTTGCAAATAAATAAAATAAAATTAGCTCCACCCAACCCCAGGGATAGAACTGACGGGGCATTAATAAGTGATCTTAGTTTTTCATAGGAATATACATACTGGAAATTTTTAAAAAAAAAAAATCTTCCCAAGAACAGCAGAGTCATGATTAGTCATTTGATGTGCAAGTATGCTTAGGTACATATTTGTTTTGATGCAGATTCAAATTTGTCATAATGATTCCCCCGGGGGTGAGCGTTATGTCCAATGAACCTCTTGTTAAAAGACCAGTGTCTTTTGCTCACCTCAAATCTTGCCGAAAAATAGAAAAAGTTAATTTAAATGCAGTTAAGCGAATTCATCTACACTAGTTTCATACAACGGCCAAAACATTGCATGATCATTATGATCAGAAAACCTCTTAGAAAAATTAAAATTGAAAAAGACTAGAATTTAGGTTTAAGCTTTCATGAGACACACCTTCCGCAGGTTTCAACTTAGCCAATTGAGGTCTTTCAGTCATAAATATTCATAAAAGCTTTAGCGTTTTAATTTTTGTGCAATGCATCTAGCTTGATGGAATTGAAAGTTGGTTTCTGACAGACAATTCATAAACAAACATCAACCGTACTTAACTTCAACCAAATTGTCAAAATTCACAAAATTAAAAGTATTCATTTTAAAATTTTAAACATTGCTCCAACTTTGGAGGGATTGGAATTAGAAATAGATATCAAAAATTGTACTTTGGTGTTATACCAGGTTTGCATCAAATCATACAAAATATGCACAAGGAAAAGAATTTGAGATAGCATGCAGATACTGTTTTTTATAGGGCGGCGACATCTTATATCAAAACACCAAAAATTTCTCAGAATCATACATATTTATATTGTCTGCATGCGCCCGAATTTCTAAACAAATAATTAAATAAAACATACATATGCAGGTGATGTAGCATGTGGTCAGACGCCAAACACTGAAAAACATATCCTATTTTCAGTCTACAACTTGTGACAGCTAGGATCTTTGGTAATGAAAAAGTTGATTAATGAACAATGGTCGATCTTTACAAAAATCTACAATCAATACAAATCTGTGAACAGGGACTAAAAGACGGACCCCCGGAAATTCCAGAGGTGGGATCTGGTGCCTAGGAGGAGCAAGCATCCCCTGTCGACTGATCACACCCGCCGTGAGTCCTATGTATTGATCAGGTGGATGAAAGATGTTAGTCAAAATATAACCTGTTTGCTAACAAGATCATTATAACGACCATAGATTTTCCGAAAGACTGACTTTAAACGGGGTTGTTAAATCCCTGTAACATCAACTTATCCGTCAGTAGTCTGCCACGGTTTGAAAACTGATCGCAATGAGAACAAGCTCTTGAGTATCACATAAATTGGGAGAGGCAAACACCATATGCAATTGATAGCTGAATATTACTACATGGACATGTGCATAGATAAGGAAAGTTGATGATGGAAAATCTGAAGTCATCTCGTTTTTCACAAAATTCCGTTTTGGTTGGACCTTATCGCCTATAGTCAGTAAAATATCCAAATATGAAACCGATGTGGCACATTCTGTGGAATCTTATTTCGACTTCACTGAGATGTATCGAGTCGACATATGAATGGAAGTAACTATTGTTAATTGATAAGACGTCGTCGATATATCTGAATGTCGAATTAATTAATAGCTACAGCAAGTTTTTCCTTCTTCTCATGTTGAAGTTTTTTTTTTAGTGAATTCTGCATCATAGAAATATAAAACAGGTTGGCACAATTAGTGCCCATCGAAATTCCAACAGTTTGTTGAAAGACCTAGTCTCCAAAGACTAAATAGATGTTGTCAGTGAGGAATCCCAGCATCTTTTTAATATCAACCTCAGAATACATGCGTGTAGAATCTTAGTTATTTTTAAGAAAGTGATTTTATTGATGACCAATCAAAATTTCCGATTTCCATTTTCTTTATTGAAGAATAAGTTGTCATTGATATCAAGAAGAATATAAGCTGCCGGCTTATGTATGGTTTTTTCAACTCTTAAGACAACCATTCTTCACGATAAATTAAAGACCAGGCTTTTTGACTTAATAGACAGCTGCTTCTTCAATAAATATGGGACTGTTTTTTTGTTTGTTTGTTTTATATCTTTTGATTGGTCATCTATAAAATTAATTCGTTAAAAATAATCCTGATTCTACACACAAAAACTCTGAAGTTGATATTTAAAAGTGCTGTTCCTCATTTACAATATATGTAGTCTTTGGGGAAAAAATGTACCAACTACATGTATTTCAGTGGATAATATTTGTGCTCCTTTATTTGCCGATCTGTTTTTTGTATGCCTATGAAACAGAATTTGACACACATTGTAGATCTGTAGATCGAAGACTTTTCATAAATTAAAAATACTTATTCATTGATTTGATGTATCCCTCTAAACTCGAAATTAAAGAACCCACATGTTTATGTATAATTGGATGTTTTACCAAGAAAAAGTCATTGTTGGCAAAGTAGCATCTAAACCTTATGATAAATTTGAAAAAAACTTCCTTTTTATATATCAGTATGCCATCATCACATGCATACGGTGGCTCGCAGTTGAATCGATATGCAAGAGGATGTTTTGCTACGAACAGAGAAGTTGATGTTACAAGGGAAAATCTGTCGATCGATCTTATATTGACGAAAATTTTAATACAAATTGTTAGGCCATTGTAATCATACTGAGTTGTATTCTGATTACTCCGTTTGCCCGAACAGGAGAAAAGGGCAGGAGGGTGTGATCGGGCGACAGGGCTTATTCCTTTATGGCACCTGATCCCACCTCTCATGTTTCCAAGTGTCCATGTTTGCTCTGCTTTCAATGTTCAGTTGGACTATTAAACATGAATGCTGTTCTTCATCTTCATTTTTCATGGCCATAAAACGTTTTTGTTTGATTACCACAAATCAATAACCCAGATGTTGAAAAATACCATAACAAGTGTCATTTTATATATTTTGAAAAGGGGAAGATAACAAATAGAGTTCAATTTTATAAATCCAATAAATAATATAAATAGAGATCAAAAACTACGGACCTCTGGAAACACCAGAGGAGGGATCAGATGCCTTCGAGAAGTAATCATCCCCAGTCTTTGCATAAAACAGAACATAGAAACAAAGCTCTTAAATTAAAAAAAAAATCATGTCTTTTGAAATATGGAGTTAACGAACAGTATTCAAGCTCCAAGTCCATTTAAACAATACAAACCGGGAGAAGAGCAAACACGGACCTCCAATATTTCAAAGGTTGGATCAAATGTCATGGAGGAGTGAGCATGCCCTGCCGACCGGTCACACCTGCCTTGTGCTATTTGTCATGATCGGGAAAAACAGAAGAAAAAAATCCGTAGACAATTCAGTGTGTAAATAATGGCTCAACAATTAGTATGAAAAACGTCAGTCAGCATTTGACTTAATGTTAGTGACTTTAGCTTTTCCATCGTCAACCTTCCTTATTTATGTAGTACTATTCCACTATCACCTGCTTATGGTGTTTATGTCTCCCAACTTATTCGCTACTCAAGAGCTTGCTCTGAGTAAGATCAATTTTAAAGCGAGGCAGGCTACTCACTGATAGGTTGATGTTACAGGGAAATTCAACAGCTTCATTTAAAGTCAGCATTTCATAAATTTTATGGTCGTTATAATGACCTTGTTAGCAAATATAACCTATCATTGGGTCGTATTTTGGCTGACTTATTTCATACTAATTGTTAGGCCTTTGTTTTTTAACTTTATGGTCTACGGATAGTTCTGTCTACCTGATCAATACATATGGCTTACGGCGGGTATGACCTGTCAGCACCTCCTAGGCACCTGATCCCACCTCTGGAATTTCCAGGGGTCTGTGTTTTATGCCCTATTCACATATTTGTATTGTTTGCTAATTTTTTTGAGATCCATCACTGTTTATTATCTTTACCTTTTACATTGTAACCACCGGTCATGTATTTCTGCTGGTGAACAGTCTGTTCCCGAGGATACTTGTCGCTCGGTATGTATTCTACTATGAATATTAAAAAGTTAAACGACTCCATACTGGCTGACACGGCGCCCAGTATAAAAGGGTGTCAGTCTGAAGATCCTATAAGGGGCACAGGCTCTCATATAGTAGTTGGTGCCCTTTTGCTTCTCCTTCGGGACATTCACAATCTATCTTATATACAGTCAGCAGATAACCAGTTTTGGTATAAAA